CGCGCCGCGTGCCGCCGCCCGGGCATACCTGAGGGCCGTGAGCTCCACTTTCTCGTGGTCGTTGGTGACCAGCTCGGGGATGAGGCTCAGGTGGGAGATCTGCGTGGCCGCCCAGCCGAACTGGAAGGTCACCACGAAGGGCCCGTAGTACAGCAGCGCTGCCCACTCCGGCGTGGCCGCCCCGCAGCCCAGGCACGGGCTGAAGATGAACGGGAAGGACAGCAGGACACACACGGTGCCTGGGGACGGGGACACCGTCACGCCGGGGCACGCGAGGTGCACACGGGGCGAGGGACATGGAGGTGCTGGGAGTCACACGGGCCAGCTGGCTGGCTGATGGCCTTGCGTGACAAGGGACGAACTGGGACCTGCCACCACGACACCATGGTAACGCAGTGCTCATGACGCCGACCTAGTGGCAAGGTGCTCGGTTCGCGTCCCGAGGCCTGTGGAACCGGTGCCTCTGCAGCCCCAGCAGACACGGCAGGTGACCAGCAGCAACCATGGCTCGTTTGCAGCTGGAAGGGGTGGGCCTGGCTCGCCCGTTTTCCAGATGAAGGCACGGAGCCCTGAGTGAGCCTGGGAGCAGGGAACGCAGCTGGCTGGACCCTGCCCACTGGATCTCCCAGCCCCAGCTGTGCCAGACAGCGGGACTGACTTCCTCCCTGGGCCCGGAGGTGACCTCATCCCCAGACTCTGCAGCCCGCCCCTGCAGCCAGGATTGGGAAATGAAACCAAACCGCCCTCTGCCATTTCTCTGACACGGATGTGGGGGGTGGCGGGCCCGATCCCTGGGGCCCGCGGGGCAATGTGCCCACTGTGGGCTCCAGTCCAGCTGCCTGGCCCGGCTCCACCCTGCTGCCTGGGCGGGCCTCTGGGCCTCATCTCCATAGGATGTGGGGTACGACAAGTTCCTGCCTCGCAGGGTCGGCGGAGGATTAGAATTAACGTGCGGGGCGGGCAGGTGGCGTGGTGGTTGAGGCGCTGGACTCCCACACGGCAGGCCACGGTTCGAGTCCCGGACCTGGAGGCTTGCTTTCCTACTTTCCCTTTCTCTCTCTGGTCAAATTAAACAAATGATGATGCTACATGAGATAAAATAACTCTAAACCAGATAACGCGTGGGGGCTGCCAGCAGGTGGCATAGTGCATAAGGCACTGGACTCCCACATGACTGACCATGGTTTGAGTCCCGGACCTGGCAGCTTGCTTTCTCACTTTCTCTGACTAAAACAAAAAATAATAATAAAGTTAAATAAATCATTCTTTAAAATAAAAATAAGTGTGGGGTCAGCCAGTTGGATGGAGGCTGAGGTAGATGGCTGCCACATTGCAGACGGGGCAGTTCGAGTCCCAGACCCGGTGACTTGCTTTCTCTCTCTGTCTCTGATGAGCGCATGTGCCCAAGTTTAAAAAGATAATAATAAATAAAATGAAATAAAAAAGAGTGGACGCATGTGGGCCACACCATGTGTGCTGTGCTGTGGTAAAACAGCGTTCAGAGAAGCCAATCCACTTGGGAAGGCTCTGGGTTCGTGTCCTGGTGCCCATGATCTGGCGCTGACCAAGGCTGGGGGTGGACCACGCCATCTGGACCTCATGACCCTTAGGGAGGTGCTATATCTGTCTCTCATGGTGGAAATAAATCAACTTCAAAGGAAACGGGAAGTGGGACTCCCACTGCCCAGCTTTCCGCTCCAGCAGCTGCACAGCCGGGATATTCTCATGTCTGGACTGCTGTGTGCTCTATGCCCACGTATGCACTCCTACTCATCCTTCAAAGCCCCAAAGCTCATGCCCCTCTTCTTTCTGAAGCCTAGGTTCGCCATCTACCCCGGACCCCGTGGACTTGTTAAGGGGAACGGAGCGCCCTTTGCCACGCTCCGCAGCCATGGGTAGAATAGAGAAGTGGGACTGTGGCCGGGGTGACCTTCACTCCATATCAGGCACCACAAGGGCTCCCAGCTTCCTCTCCCAGCAGACCCCCTGGGTCTTCCCACCTGCCCACCCTGAGGCAGGGAAGGGGTACAGGCTAGGCCTGGGAGTCTGGGCCCCACCTCCAGTCTCTTTTGCATAAATACAAGGCCTCCTAGCTCGAGTCCCTCCCCTGGGCTCAGGCAGGAGCGGGGCCCCACTCACAAAGGGGGCCCACAGCAGGCTGGAGGCTCTGGGCAGAGGTCACAGGCCCACCTTGGGGCCTTGGCACCTGCAGCGCCCCCTGCCAGTCCCCTCCACTGCTGCCCTGCATGTCTCGCCCACCCCGCCGGGAACTGTGCCCACTGTCAGTGTCTAAGCTGCACTTGGGGTCCGGGCCCCCCTCTGCAGCCCATCCAAGGTGCATCAGAGAGGAAGGACTTTAATGTCGGCGTTTCGAGACCGGCCAAGTCTCAGCCCCATCCCTTCCCTGTCTGCCACCCCTCGGTAGATGCCCTGGGCATCCTCTGTGCCCAGAACACCCCAAAGCCCAGCTCCCAGGTGGTGTCCCCAGCAAGGCAAATGTCACGAGGGCCTGAGTCAGACCCTTGATCAGTGCCCCTGAGGGCAAAGAGGCACAGCCAGCGCCTCCGGGCTTCTAGAAACTGCCCCTGGAATTCCAAGGGGTGGGCAGGACTGTGGCCAGGCCCCTGTAATCTCAAGGCCCAGGGTGACAGCGCCCGGGAGGCTGACGGCAAGGACCAGACGGCCTTATCTGAGTGCCGGGGGGCAGGCCAGGGCCAGCAGCCCTAATCAGGATGGCCCCACTACGCCCTGCAGGCCCCAGCTCTCATCGCCCAGCTGAGAAGCAAGCTCAGGGTGCAGACTTCTGACCACCCAGTCCCACCTGCCCCCAACGCTCAGGTCCTGGGGCAGTACCCTCAGCTCCCCAAGCACCAGGGAGCCTGGGACAGGGCAGGCGATGGGCATGGGTGCTTCCATCTCTCAGAGAGCGGCCCTGGACGGTCACTGGGACACAGACGGCAGGTCAGGTTAGACCAGACAGACGGACAGAGGAGGCCCGAGGGGCCGGACCCACCCAGACGGTTCAGGGTTCAGAAGGGCAAAGAAAGGCGACCCTGGAGGGTCGAGGCGAGGATGGTCAGACCAAGGGGGCCCTGCAGGTCGGGCAGCAGCCAGGGCAGACAGCCGGGGCTCACGGCTCAGGCAGAGGGGCACTGGGCGCACAGGCAGAGGGAGAGGCTGGGGCACGGGGCGCTGGGCGGTGGGACGGGGGCGGGGGG